GGTTTTCTGTTAAACTAACTTTATTATTAGAAAGACCATATTTCACTTAACTGTTGAAAACTTAGCATCTAAATTAAAATGCACTGCAAGTGGTAAAATAGAAGTGTGTAAGTGTATAGAGAAAATCTCATTAACAATTTTTATACTGATTCCATATTAAAATGATAATATTTTGCATATTTGAAGCTAAATAAAATATAGTATTGGTCTCGTGTCTATTTATTGAATAGCACTAGTTTACCCATTAATCTAAGGATAAGGTCGAAATATTTAACCTGTCTGCGTGATGCAGAATGATCTGATCCCAGGGTATGTCAATTTCAATCTAGCTTTATTTGACACCATGTTTCCATTTACTCTTTCTTTCTGTTACTAGCTTTTATTTCCAGAAGAAAATCTTATTTCTTTCATTTCAAGGCCTTTCATTTCAAGGCCTGCTTTGCTTCAAACGCTCTTCCCTTCTTAGTTAAGACTAAGTAAAGGCTAGCTAACTCCTACTTACACTTCAGATTTCAGCCCAAATGTTACTTCCTCAGGAAGAGCCCTGCTTAATCCCTACCGTCTCTGCTACCAAACCTGAGGAGAGGGGAAAGGACTGATGTAGTGATGGAAACAGAGGTGAACAAGAGACATCAAGGGAAATGATTGCATATTGGCCAAGTCTAGGTACACGAGGCAGAAGGAGATGTCAAAGACGTGTGTATGATTTCAAAAGCGTTAAAAGAAATCTTGATGCCACTAGTAAAGATCTGTCATTTGGTAGATGGAACCATGTTCTGCTTGGTTGGTTGGTTTTCAGAGTAGATAGAGAACACAGGACAGATGCTGAATTTGCTTTGAGATCTATTACATTTTGTAATAATATTTTCAGGTTTAGTATATAATTGATGCTGATAGGAGATTTCAAGTTGCTGGGGTTTAGTGAAATAGTGAAGCAAAAGGAGGAAGTTCACAAAAACCTATGGTAGGTATGTTAAGATCAATTTGTGTGGAGATTGTGACTCAAAATGTCCTTTTTTATTACTATATTTATTTATTTGTTTGTTTGTTTGTTTGTTTATTTTTGAGTTGGAGTCTCACTCTGTCACCCAGGCTGGAGGCTGGAGTGCAATAGCACACTTGCGGTCGCTGCAGCCTCGACCTGCTGGGCTCAGACGATTCAGCCTTCCAAGTAGCTGGAACTACAGATGCGTAGTTCCACACCTGGCTATTTTTTTATTTATTATAGAGATGAGGTCTCACCAAGTTGTCCAGGCTAGTCTCGAACCCATGGGCTCAGGTAATCCTCTCAACTTGGCCTCCCAGAGTGCTGGAATTATAGGCGTGAGCTACTGCGCCTGGCCTCAAAATGTCTTGACAGTTTTAGAAATTGTAAATCTCTCTCTCTCTCTCTCTCTCTCTCTCTCTCTCTCTCAAGAGACTGAGAAGGAGAATTAAATGTAAATCTTTGGAAGTTTTGCTCAATAACCGGTCTCAGAATATTCTGCATAAGCATTCCACGAAAGAAGACTATACCAGTGGTGACAGGAACTGGTAGTCAGGGGCAGGGATGAGAGGAAGTGCACTTTTCATTATACATACTTACTATTGTCAGCTTTATTTGTTTGTTTGTGTATTGCCAATATGATATGTGTATAATGGTGCTTTATCATGATTCACTTCTATTTACATCTAGTTTCTGATGAGTTAACTATTTCCTCTTTCTGATGAGTTAACTATTTCCTCTTTCTATGTGTGTTTATGTGCGTATGTACAGACATGTATTTGCCTGCCATTCATGTTCATTTTCTGTGATATGTTTATATTGGACTTTTATCTTATACTTATGGATGTTACATGTTTTTGTATGCTCTGGAAACTGATTTTTTTTTTTTTTTGAGTTGGAGTCTCACTGTGTCACCCAGGCTGGAGTGTAGTGGCAAACTCATGGCCACCCCAGGGTCCACCTGCTGGGCTCTGGCAGTCCTTCCACCTCAGCCTTCCAAGTAGTCAGAACTACAGGTACACGCTACCATGCCCGGCTAATTTTTCTGATTTTATTGTAGAGATGAGGTCTTGTCAAATTTCCCGGGCTGGTCTCGAACCTGTGGGCTCAGGCAATCTACTCACCTCGGCCTCCCAAATTGCTGGGATTACAGGCTGAGCCACTGAGCCTGGCCCTGATTTTTTGTTAGTTATATGTTCTGCAAATGTTTTGGTTTATCTTATCCCTTTTTTTTTTTTTTTTTTTTTTTTG